CTATCTATCTATCTATCTATCTATCTATCTATCTATCTATCTATCCAACCATCCATCCATCTATCCATCCATCCATCTATCTATCTATCTATCTATCTATCTATCTATCTATCTATCTATCTATCCATCCATCCATCCAACCATCCATCCATCCATCAGTTATCTATCTATCCATCCATCTATCCATCGAAAAACCCTATGTTTTGAAAACATTTTTTAACTTTGCTATTTGATTATAGTTATTTCTGAGTGTTCTGGTAGTTTAAGTTTTTCAGAAGGTTTAATTTTTATATAATGGCTAGAAGTGTAATTTCAAAGAATAAATGGTTAGAGGAATGTGGAGGAATGGCCATAATGTCAAAATCAGTTGATTTAGGAACTATCTTGAGTACTTTTACAACAGCACACCCCACAGAGCTGAGGGCAATACAAGCTGTCCCATTTTTGGTAGTGCTACATCGCTATCTCTTGCTAAAAAACACAAACCTTTTTTTTAACAATCATTTTTTAAAGATTTGTTTTGTTTTCAACAGGCAATTATATTTTTCACTGCTATCGTTTCACTTTTAGTTTATGATAATAAGCGTTATCTATCCATCATATCCCAGTCCTGGTGCTATTGCTATCCATTCACGCTGCTATCCATCTTGCACTATCAACTCATCGATCAGTCCCGTCTTGTTCATTGATTTCGCTCCGTGTTGTAGAGCAGGCTGATTGTAGCAAGATTTGTGTCCACTAACCCTTTCTGTATCCATCCATCCATCCATCACCTCTTCCATTACCTCCATCATTAGCCCTACTCCACCTCATCCCTGGGACTGTAAAACAGGAGCAACCTAATGATTGCCAACTATAGTTTATCAATCAAGGTTTATCAATCTGTGTCCGAGCTTGTATGTGTTCACTATAACTGCTCTGACCCTTTTGATGATTTCAAATAACCACATGTCACAAAGTCAGAGTGATGCCTCGAGAATCAGAGGAGATGGAGAAAAAACAGCAGGTGAGAGGTGCACACTCCTGCCACAAAGACAACACAATGGCATCGGAAAATTGGCATGGCAACTGGCTCGTTGTCATGGCAATCATATGACGGCACACTGGGTAGGTAAACAAGGATGCTGGTTGCCAAGGGCGACTGCTGTGTTCTTCGGGTAAACAAAGAATCTGTGCCAGAGAGTGCTTTGCTGGCTTCATACTATCCTCCTCGGCATCTTTCCCGAACCATTTTTATCTCTCTTAGAGTTAAATGAGCATTGAGTAAAAATGTATGAGAACAAGGAAATGAACAGGACGGGAGATTTATGAGAGATGTGGGCAGTATCAGGCGGAAGTGAGTGATTTGGCTCCGAGCGAGAGAAGGAGAGGGAGAAGGTGAGGGAACTGAATCTATATTGTAGTAGAGTAATTAAAATTCCCTTGAGCCTGGGAGAAAAAATGCAAATAAAGTACAGTCATACTGTACTCCACTCTTTTTCCCCCCTTTATTCCAACACACATGAAGAGCCACGCGCTCCTTTCAAGTTAAATGATCCTCTAATTACTCACGTTCTAATTAAGTTTTAATTAACGGTAACCATCTGCAAACGTGCGCCCGTACAAGAGGCTGGCTTCATACTGTAGCGAGGTCTGATCCGTCCTGCTGAATACTAAGAAGCCCTGTTCTGTATCTCTGAGGAAAGGGGATTCGTATGTGAGCAGCAGCGCGGCGATGCATGAGGGCGAGATATGTGATATATGATCGTGTGTGAGCCTGCATGACCACTCGCACTCAGTGGAGGCACGTCCTCTGACACATGCATGACCAAACCCTGCATACAAACACTGCTCCATTTTGCATGCTGTGGTGCCAAGACAAATACACATACAGTACATGTCACTCCCATATGCACACACACACACTGTACTACACTCACTTTTCCCCACACCCAGAGCACCCGCCCATTAGCGCACACAGAAACAAACACATCCTAAACACATACAGTTAATCTCACTCCCTGCAGTAACGCAGAGAGGATTGTGCCTGGATTAGGGGATATTAAATCCTTGGATTATCCAATCAAATCGCATTCTACCCCCTCCCCCCGCCCACACAAAATCAGTGGAACAAACCATCGCACTACATCATGAGGGCATGGGGGGTGGCGTGTGTATGTAAATGTGTGTTTACATACATACACAATCTGGAACATGGATTAAAGTACAGTGTTAAATCACTGTTTTCATTTTGGCAATTCTCCACAAATGTAAAAAATATATAAAAGTGATTACAGCGCACCATCAACTGACAATTGAGTGTGTGTCTTTGTGAGTCTACAGTGTACAAACACACACACTCTCTCTTCATATCTGTCTTCCTCACACACACAAATGCACACACACCCCTCCCCCTTCAATCTCCCTCTGGAACACTCCATCCACACAATTTCAGATGTCCATTTTCCAGAGTGCACAAGAAAGGAAACTATTTGTATCCTTTCCCCACGATCTAGCATTA